TCCTTGTGACCAAATTAGATTAAAGAGTTATAAGAGGACTGCAAGGGCTGACTGATGTAAATGTTGTAACATCCGAATATGAACGTCGCCAGGCCCAGCTGCTGATGATAGGTAAGCTGAGAGTGTCGCCTCCAGTTCCTGAAGTGTAAAAGTCACCTATAAGATTCTTCTTTGAGAGAAGAAAAGTCTAAGGGCGCTAACTCTCTGGCAGACTTTGAGGAAAGAAACAAAGGGCATAGATGGAGCCTTTGAGAAACACGGACCAGATGATTACCAATTTCAATGGCAACATCTAGAGGGTTTGCTATATCAACACTGGCAACCCGCAGAACAGGAGCCGGGTCAGGAGAGTACTATTTACCACTCAGTTTCCATATTTTTTTCCAGACTGCACTCATAGAGGAAGCAGAGGTGATGGTGGAAATGTAATCTCGCCAGCAAGTACGTTTAGCGCCACGGATGACACGGCGAGCGACCGCACGCTTCTGCTTAAAATCAAGAAGTCTCTTTGTGGTTCTATTGTACCGGTACCTGCCCCACACAGCACGTTTCAAACATACTGCCCGAGCACAAGCAGGAGACCACCAAGGCACACACTTCTGAGAATGCCTGCCCAAGGCTCAGGGTATAGAATGAGAAGCTGTGGTTAAAATTGAGGTTGAGAAGAGGTGTAACAGCTCATCAATGGAGGACAAAGAAGGAACCTCACTAAAAGCAGTTAGTTGTGAGTAAAGGTCCCAATTTGCTTGATCAAATTGCCAGCGTGGGCTACGAAGAGATGGTGAATATGAAGGAGAAGTAAGAATGTATAGGTAGTAGGTTGGTAGAAGCAACCACCCAGGGAGGTACTACCGTCCTACCAAGTGAGTGTAAAACGAACGCCTGTAATTGTTTTACATGATGGTAAGATTGCTAGTGTCTTTTGTCTGTTTCATAAATATGCAAGATTACAGGTATGTCTTGCTACTTCTACTTACACTTAGGTCATACTACACATACATGTACAAGCATATATATACACACCCCTCTGGGTTTTCTTCTATTTTCTTTCTAGTTCTTGTTCTTGTTTATTTCTTCTTATCTCCATGGGGAAGTGGAACAGAATTCTTCCTCCGTAAGCCATGCGTGTTGTAAGAGGTGGCTAAAATGCTGGGAGCAAGGGCCTAGTAACCCCTTCTCCTATATAAATTACTAAATTTAAAAAGAGAAACTTTCGTTTTTCTTTTTGGGCCACCCTGCCTTGGTGGGATATGGCCGGTTTGTTGGAAAAAAACAGTAAGAACGACTGGAAAATGATTGCTGTCATGTAGTCCGGGAGAACAGACCAGGTGAAGTCTAGCACAGCGGAAGAAGAGCACTGAGAGATCGATGCAAGAAAGAGTATGAGTATGAGGATCAAAATGGGTGGGAGTACCTGTATTTAAAACATGGAGGGGGTGAGAGGCGAGAAAAGCCTCCAACTGAATGCCACGGGAATCACAGTGAGACCCCCCAGAGGATATGATGGCCATTAAAATTGCCAAGTAACAGAAGTGGAGGCAGTAAGGACGAAACATGAAAGGCAACATCCGGGATAGATAATACCTGAGAAGAAGATATAAAGAACAGATTGTATACCACTTATGCATGTGGATACGGGCTGCAGTGTAATGCAGCGAAGCATGAACAAACAGCTGATGGTATGGAATATCAGTGCATAGAAGAAGGGCACTTTCATTAAAAGTCCCATCAGAAAAAGGGTCTGAAGAATAAAATAAATTATAGCCTGAGATGGGATAGATAACAGCGGAGTGTAATTTTGGTTCTTGTAAGCCAACACCAACGGGAAAACCGAGAGAACAACATCTGAAGCTCACTTCAATTACCCCTGAGGCTGCGGATATTCCACTGTAAATAGGCCGTGATTGGCAATGATAAAGATACCAGAAATCCACAGGTAAGGGTACCTATGGACTAGAGGGGTTAGAAAAGTCCACATGTGGCGGCAGTGGAAAACGTTCAAGTAGCAAGGGAACGGAGCGCTGTGAAGAAAGGAGTTGCGCAGATGGAGGAGAGGAAAGAGAAGGTACAGGGAGTGGATCAGTGTCCATTGATGGTTTAGTCTCTGCAATATATTCTGAGATAGCTTCAAGTGTTCCGGAATTCAAAGACGTTGTATGGGAGACAATACTGGAGATGGAAGGAGGAGGGTGAGTAAAGATTGGGACAGTAATGGACTGTACCAAAGTAGGGGGGGATGAAAGGATGGAGGGAACTGGAGAAGTGTAGAAGGGGACAGAAGAGGGAGAAACTTGGGAGAGGACAGGGAAGGAAGGCCCAGTACGAGGAGGAGGGTGAACCTCCACACTTAGAGCCAGAGTGGGGAAGAACCAGGTACAGAGATTGGAAAGGTAAAATGTGGAGATGGAAGAAGGGAAGGAGGGGTTAAAGGAGATTTGAGCAATGGGGATTTTTTTGACTTCTGAGAAGTAGAGGGGGCGACTGGGAGGAGGTGTTGTACGAGGTCTTGTCAATACCTGGGCTTGTGAGGAAGAACATGAAGAAGTGAGAACAGACTGAGGTGTTGAAGTAGGGACTTCTGAGCCTAGGACAGCAAAAGAATTAGAGACAGGAATGACTATGGGAGGAGTAACCACAGAGGAGGGTGTAGAAGATGGGACCCCAGAAGTGGGGGACGTTTAGAAACATGAGAATAAGAAATATAGGGTAGTCTCCTTTGGAGGCATCGATGAGAAACTGCCATAGCATAAGGGAGACCTTCCACCTCTTTGAGGCAATGGATTTCTCGCTCATTTAAGTAGACCTGGCAACGGCGAGAGTAAGAAGGGTGAGCCTCATGACAATTAAGGCAAGAGGGAGGTCGACTACAAGACGTATTAGAATAGTCATCGGCACCACAGACTGGGCATTCGGCCATAGATCTGCAACATTTCACTGGGTGACCAAATCGCCAGCAATTTCTACACTGTTGCGGTGTAGGGATCACCTTTCGAACTTGTAAACGATGCCTGCTACATAAACAGAGAATAGGAGTTCATGGCTGTCGAAAGTTAATTGAGCCACATTGCAAGGGTATCATCTCTGCCCGTGGGCAGGAAGGACATAAGTGTCTACTTTGAGGATTGGGAGACCTTGGAGTTCCAGCTGTTCTAGAATGTCATCGCCACTTGTCTGGAAATTCTGTTGGACTATGGTATGGGGCAGAATGACAGAACCACTACAAGAATTGAGGGAATGTTTTTCGATAGTGACAGTAATAGTATCAATATGTGAAAGAAGAGAAAGATCATGAGCTTGGGTAGCATTCTGGACAGTGATGCGTGTACCAGCATGGTGTAGGGGTGCCTTGCCAATACTATGGTCGGAAAGACAGGCAATAGAGGAAGTTGGTAGTAAAGTAAAGAATTTAGCCCATTGTGCATTCTGAAACTGAGCGTGGAAAGGGACTGCATGATGTGTAGTCATTTCTGAGTAGAACGAGAAGGTGGCGAAGAAGTATCATCAGGCAATTGTCGTTGGCATTTAGGAGTGGGACTGGAGTTGGTCCGACATGGGATGGGCTGGTGATTCGAAAATTGCCGCATCATAGAGGGAGAGGCCGGAAGCATAGTCAAAGGAGAGTGGAGGTCAGATAAATCGAAGGAGTCAGTCAAAACCCCGGTACCTGAAGTGGGTGATGAAACAGCACCAGCAAGAGGTACAGGGGCATTAGAAATGTCTGAAGAGTGGTCAAAAAACGAAACAGGGTCAGAATGGGGTGTGGTAACAAGAAGGGGCCTGGGGGTTGCAGGGTCATGGATTGGGTCCTCCATGGTTAGATTACTTCTTTCTTTTTGTTTTAAGAAAAAAAAAGAAAGAAGAAAATAAAATAAAAATAAAAAAGAATAAAACAAGGGGGGAATGGGGAGGATAGTTCCGAGGAGGAATGAAAGGGCCGGAAATCTCCCTCCATGCCCAAGAGGACCTCAGCACTGCAAGTAGCGCAGATGCGGCATGGAACCCATGCCATACCCTACCCTTCATACTAATAAACCAGCAATCTGGGATAGCAACCTCATATCTGCCGAGCTACCTCGGTGGACAAAAGAGAGGGCGGCCGGATATCTGCCACACAGCATACCTCCTTTGGCCACCACCCCCAGAATCCGAAAGGCAGCCTCCAGAGATACACCCGTCACCCGAAAGACACACAAAGCCATCCCCCTGGAGACTGGAGAGGGATTGGGACATCCCCAGGCGATCAAGATTCCACGGCAAACTACACCACCTCTAAGAACCTCAATGGAATGGGATGGACCCCGGTACCCTTCCCCCTACCTAACATGCCTGTGGGAAGAATTCCAAAGGCCAAATAGAGGAAGGGAATAAGGGAGGGACGGGGAGGAGGAGGAGGAAAGGAAAAAGGGAGGATGAGATAGGGAAGGGGGGATTGGGGGTAATTAGGTTCGGTCTGAGGAAGGAGACCAGCAGGTCTAATTCCTCAGACCAAGAGCCTCTTCACCACGCCAAGGCGATCCCCTTGAAGAGGCTTCCCTCAAGAGATCATAGCTTGTGTGTTAAGGAAAGAGAATCTTTGTCCATCCCATTCTGTTGAGGATCTAGATGGTGGTGGTGTTCGCTGTGGAATCTGGATCACTATAGCAACATCATCGAAGAATGATGCAGACATTATGGAGCAACTCGAGCTCCAGGACTTCCCGATTCTTAAAGTAGACACTCATGTACAACCTGCCTGTGGGCGGAGACACTATCCTTGTAACATAGTTAACTTTTGACTGTCATGAATTTCCACCCTCTGTTTATATAGCAGGACAACACTTACAAGTAGAACTAATAATGTAGAAATTCCTGGCACTTCAGTCGCCCAGCAAAATACTGCAGGTCAATAGCAGAATGCCCAGTCTTTGGTGCAGCTGACCATAATGATCCATCCTGCAGCTAATCCCCCAGTAATTCTATGTAAATTAAGTACTAAAATAATACAGGATAATACTAATTAATAAATACAGATCTTTATTTCTATATTACTATATATACAAAACATAAAATAAACTGAAGGCCCATAGGATGCATAGCATTTCAGACAAAACTTAAACTACATAGATTTTAAGTATAGTTTGAGTTTTGCCCGAAATTTGCAACTAAAATAATACAGAATACAATGCAGAGTAACAGTAGTTATACTTGAATAACCTAGGTATGGAGCTAGTACATTTTAAAGACTAAATGATGTTAATGACATTGGAACTTAATTAAATCTTTTAGTAAATATATTAATTCAAAAGCACTAAACCCATGAGGATTATACAGATATTTTGGTAAAAAAAAAAAAAAATAGTATGTGGCAATAGTTTTCTTTCCAGAATTGCTCACAAAAATGAGCAATGACACTATTGTGACACTTATGCACTAGAGTTTTAGAAAAAAACTCTCACAATGTTCTTTGACATTCCTAAGGTATTAAAGCATTAAACAAAGAAACCAACCACACAGAACAAATGTTACAGAAGAAAAGAATTCTTTGTTTGATATGACATAGGCTGTAGGAACATTCTGAGATTGTGCAAGTTTCTTGAGTTCTAGTAATGGCAGGAATAAATGGAGAATATCAGGAATCATGAAAAATATATCTCGCAGAACCTGAAACAGATAACAGTATAAACTATAACATGAGAAACCAATACAATACTGTATCATAATTACTAATAGACAGTAATGTGTTAAAGCTACTACCTACCACAGTATACCAACTCATGCCTTGGATATGATGACATTCTCGAATATACAATTGTTAACAAATGTCAAACAATGGCATTCTTAGGGTTAAACTGACAGGAACAGTTTACTTTGTAAATGCTTATTAAAATTCCTGATATGCCTAATAATTACATAGTAGCTAGAGTGAGAGGTAGACCAGAAGGTTAAGATATGAAGATGATAATTAAACAGTTACCAGAGGAGGAGTAGGAAAGGGGGTCAAGAGGGGTGAAGGGTGAATAAATAAAAAAAATGATAAGCAAGTTGTATAAACAACTGCTGGAAGAGAGTGATGAGATATATATTGAGAAGTTGAATTTTGGACAATAAAGAGTTGGACCTCCAAACTGTGTGATTTACGTTCCTACAGGTCCCATGATAACACTTGGGTTTTCAGTTAGTGTGCACAGTACAGAAGGGCCCCACTTATATGGTGGGTCCGGTGCCAGGCTACAGCTGTAAAGCAAATCAACCTTTGTTCCCTTTTAAATGCATATATATGCCTGATAAAATATTTACACTATCATATATTAACCCTGTGACTGTCGAAACCCCAAATTTTGAGGTGTCTCCCAGTGTCGCAAAATACTTGAAAAAAAAAAAAATTTTCTTATGAAATGATAGAGAATCTTTTCCCGATGGTAATGACACCATAAGTATGAAATTTGATGGAAAACTTACGGAATTATGCTCTTGTGAAGTTAGCGACCTCGGCGATATTTACGAATTGGCGATTTCGCCTACTTTGAGCCCTATTTTCGGCTAATTCCCTTGTTCCAGTTGACCAAACTCATAGCTGTTTCTTTAGAAATCCATTTGTTCTATCGATTGAGTACAAGAAACTACCCATTTACGGATTTCAACTACCCAATAAAGTGGTCAGAAATTGGCAATTTGCCCAATATCACACAAATAAAAAAATATGACAATTTCAAAATAGGGTCCAAAATGAATAATGCAGACATTGCTGGCTCTAAAATAACATTTTCTTTGTTCAACAGCCATGTCTCCAGGCCCCTCTGATATTACTCTTGCTTTCTATTCTGAATTTTTTTCAAACAAAAAAGAGAAGATTTACTGTTATGCAGACTACTGCAATATTGTAATAATTATATAAATAATGTCAACCCATTCATGACTACATATTAGAATGGCTAGTTGGACATTTATTGGACAATGAAATCATTTGTTTATTCTTGAACATCAGCAAAAATCAAACATTTCCCATACTTTGAGCTCCATTTCAAGGTCCTTTTCATAGTAAAACCAATCAAAATCACCTCTATTTCTATAATATGTTTCCCATTCTATCAAATGTGATTACAATAACCAGAAGGTAACCACAAAAACTATACAAAAATACACCTCAAAAATTGGCATTGTAATCCAAAAACACAGTCGGAGTTTTTTTTTCTCATTATGCACTTCGTGCTGCAGGATTTTTTATATGGTGCACACTGACCACACAGATCCATTCTCTCACATGTGAGCCTACCAGCTTTCTACTGCTTGATTTGAAGCCGCTAGAATTTTTGAGTATATATACATTAACACCCCTGAAGGAGGGGTGTTAATGTTGCAGTTTAAAAACTGTAGTGTAAAGCACCCTTCTGACAAGACAGTGATGGAGTGAATGATAGTGAAAGTTTTTTTTCTTTTTCGGGCCACCCTGCCTTGGTGGGAATCGGCCAGTGTGTCAATAAAAAAAAAAAAAACGTCAAACACCGTAGGAGAAATGTTTAATTTTTGCCGATGTTCAAAAGTAAACAAATGATGTCATTGTCCAATAAATGTCCAACTAGCCATTCTAATATGCAGTCATGAATGGGTTGACATTATTTATTCAATTATTACAATATTGCAATAGTCTGCATAACAGTAAATCTTCTATTTTTTCTTTGAATAAAAATTCAAAATAGAAAGCAAGAGTAATATAAGAGAGGCCTGGAGACACGATTGATGAACAAAGAAAGTGATATTTTAGAGCCAGGAATGTCTGCATTGTTCATTCTGGACCCTATTTTGAAATTGGCATTTTTTAATTTGCATGAAATTGGCGAAATTGCAAATTTCTGACCATTACTGGGTAGTTGAAAAAGGTAAATGGGCAGTTTCTTGTACTCAACCGATAGAACAAATGGAGTTCTAAAGAAATATCTATGAGTTTGGTTCACTGGACCAATGGAATTAGCCGAAAATAGGGCTCAAAGTGGGCGAAATTGCCGATTCATAAATATCGCCGAGTCACTAACTTTGCGAGAGCGTAATTTTGTAAGTTTTACATTAAATTTCACTCTTTTGGCGTCATCACCATCGGGAAAGATTCTCTACCATTTCACAAGAGAAAATAATTTTTTTTTTTTCAAAATTTTTCGAAGGGTTAACCCTTTGACTGTTTCAGTCGTATATATATGTCTTACGAGCCACTGTGTTTGACGTATATATATATACAGTGTAACCTCTACTTGCGAGTTTAATTCGTTCCATGACCTTGCTCGCAACTGGATTTGCTCGTTTGCAGAGTCAATTTTCCTCATTTAAATTAACTGAAATGCAATTAATCGGTTCCAGTTGAATTCTGTACTTCAATAATTTCGCTAACATCAACTCTACAGCTTATTTATCTATCTCACATCATCTAATATGACATAATAAACAATATAAATAACATACAAACCTGATATATACTCTAAAATGAATAAAATACATTCATGTGGTGGTATGGGCGGTGTCGGCGGTGGACGAGTTTGTCTGGAGACCGGGCAAAATACTTCATGAATAATTTAGCTAATATCATCTATACGGCTTATTTATCTATCACAGTTCATCTAATATGACATAACAAACAACATAAATAACACAGAAACATGATATATACTCTAGAATGAATAAAATGTCATTCATGTAGTGGTATGGGCGGTGTCAGCAGTGGACGAGAGTTTGTCTGGAGACCGGGCAAAATACTTCATGAATATGTAGTATATTATTATTATATACGTATTATATATATGTGGGTGAGATGTTACCAACAAATTTTGTTGAAAATAAGAAAAAGTTTTGGAGTAAGCTTAACAAGTTAAGGAAGCCTAGAGAGCAAATGGATTTGTCAGTTAAAAATAGGAGAGGAGAGTTATTAAATGGAGAGTTAGAGGTATTGGGAAGATGGAGGGAATATTTTGAGGAATTGTTAAATGTTGATGAAGATAGGGAAGCTGTGATTTCGTGTATAGGGCAAGGAGGAATAACATCTTGTAGCAGTGAGGAAGAGCCAGTTGTGAGTGTGGGGGAAGTTCGTGAGGCAGTAGGTAAAATGAAAGGGGGTAAGGCAGCTGGGATTGATGGGATAAAGATAGAAATGTTAAAAGCAGGTGGGGATATAGTTTTGGAGTGGTTGGTGCAATTATTTAATAAATGTATGGAAGAGGGTAAGGTACCTAGGGATTGGCAGAGAGCATGCATAGTTCCTTTGTATAAAGGCAAAGGGGACAAAAAATTATAGGGGGATAAGTTTGTTGAGTGTACCTGGTAAAGTGTATGGTAGAGTTATTATTGAAAGAATTAAGAGTAAGATGGAGAATAGGATAGCAGATGAACAAGGAGGCTTTAGGAAAGGTAGGGGGTGTGTGGACCAGGTGTTTACAGTGAAACATATAAGTGAACAGTATTTAGATAAGGCTAAAGAGGTCTTTGTGGCATTTATGGATTTGGAAAAGGCGTATGACAGGGTGGATAGGGGGGCAATGTGGCAGATGTTGCAGGTGTATGGTTTACCTGGACCTGGAGTTTACCTGGAGAGAGTTCCGGGGGTCAACGCCCCCGCGGCCCGATCTGTGACCAGGCCTCCTGGTGGATCAGAGCCTGATCAACCAGGCTGTTACTGCTGGCTGCATGCAAACCAACGTACGAGCCACAGCCCGGCTGGTCAGGAACCGACTTTAGGTGCTTGTCCAGTGCCAGCTTGAAGACTGCCAGGGGTCTGTTGGTAATCCCCCTTATGTATGCTGGGAGGCAGTTGAACAGTCTTGGGCCCCTGACACTTATTGTATGGTCTCTTAACATGCTAGTGACACCCCTGCTTTTCATTGGGGGGATGTTGCATCATTTGCCAAGTTTTTTGCTTTTGTAGTGAGTGATTTTCGTGTGCAAGTTTGGTACTAGTCCCTCTAGGATTTTCCAGGTGTATATAATCATGTATCTCTCCCACCTGCGTTCCAGGGAATACAGGTTTAGGAACCTCAAGCGCTCCCAGTAACTGAGGTGTTTTATCTCCGTTATGCGCGCCGCGAAGGTTCTCTGTACATTTTCTAGGTCAGCAATGGTGTAGGAGGTAGGTTACTGAAAGCAGTGAAGAGTTTTTACGAGGATAGTGAGGCTCAAGTTAGAGTATGTAGGAAAGAGGGAAATTATTTCCCAGTAAAAGTAGGCCTTAGACAAGGATGTGTGATGTCACCATCGTTGCTTAATATATTTATAGATGGGGTTGCAAGAGAAGTAAATGCAAGGGTCTTGGCAAGAGGCATGGAGTTAAAAGATAAAGAATCACACATAAAGTGGGAGTTGTCACAGTTGCTCTTTGCTGATGACACTGTGCTCTTTGGAGATTCTGAAGAGAAGTTGCAGAGATTGGTGGATGAATTTGGTAGGGTATGCAAAAGAAGAAAATTAAAAGTGAATACAGGAAAGAGTAAGGTTATGAGGATAACAAAAAGATTAGGTGATGAAAGATTGGATATCAGATTGGAGGGAGAGGGTATGGAGGAGGTGAATGTATTCAGATATTTGGGAGTGGACGTGTCAGCGGATGGGTCTATGAAAGATGAGGTGAATCATAGAATTGATGAGGGGAAAAGGGTGAGTTGTGCACTTAGGAGTCTGTGGAGACA